GGGCACTCTCGTCCGGCGCCACCGCCGCCTTGGAGGCCGACGGCGGCAGCCCCGCGCTGCAGCCCTGCGCCCCGTTGGTCTGCGAGTAGACGTTGCTCACCTTGGCCGCCTTCTGCTGCCCGTTGCTGCTGCACACCTTGTAGCGGATCATGAGGATGATGATGAACACGAGCACGGAGGCCACGATGATCCCCCCGATGATGATGATCATGGTGCCACCCAGGAACTGGGACTGCATGAAGTGGCAGCGCACGTAGTCCTGCTCGGTGGTAAACTGCGTGCAGCCCACCACCCGCGTGGCTGTCAGCGAGGTGATCCCGTCGTCGTAGATGGCCAGGACGCACAGGTCGTACGCCGTCCCCGCCGCCAGGTTGTTGACCAAGAAGGTTTTGCTCGTGGGAGGTATCATTCTGGGGGACAAGGACAGCAGCGTGAATGAGGGCACCTGCCCCAGTGCCATGGCCAGGCTCACAGAGAGCCACCAAGCCAAAAAYGCAAGCAAAACCACTCAAACAGCTTTGAACGGTGCGGCTGGAAATGAGACAGAACCATTAAAAACTGTGAAATTACAAAAAAAGGCCTTTGCGAGATGCCACYAGCAGGTGCGAGGTTCACAGCAGAAGCGCTGGGCGCACAGGCTGCCTCCCCACCGCGCACCCACCCCGGCACAGCAGCACCCACGGACACCTCCTCCTGCCGCTCCACAAAACTGCAAGTGTTAACATCCATTTAACTCCTCTAACTTSACAATCCTTCTGCTAATCAGATTACTTCGGAGGATTAGAGGCCTGCTTGGATTATCTAAAAATAACACTGTCCAAAGTCATTTCCCTATTAAAAAAAATAAAGTTAAAAACAGCATTAGTGTCTCCGGAGCCTCGCACCAGCTGCTTCCCGGGCAGGGCTCGCGTGCACCTCGGCGCTACGGCGCGGCYGGCAGCGCATCCCTAGCTCAGCACAAGGCAGCTGCACGAGCAGAGCGCGCCGGGTCCCTCTTACCTGTAAACAAGCGAGTCATCGTAAGTACCGTTGTACTGGATTTGGAACATGCGTATTCCAGGGATATTTCTCTGAAAATTGAATTTCAGCAGCACAGTGGACGACGTTGCCTCCGCCACTACTACCTTCTTATCTTGGCTGATTTTAGTATCCCCGTTACTACTGCTCGCGTTGGAGCCTGACTTGGTGGAAGTCGAGATATCTGAGGAGCCCGGGTCAGGCTCGTGGATGTGGTTGGTACTATTCAGCAAATGGGGAAGTTTGATTATATGCAGGTCCACCGTTTGCGTGGCTTCCCCGGCTGGATTGGAAGCAATGCAGGTGAAGGAACCTGTATCCTTTACTGTAGTTATAAGGATGTCCAGCGTCCCATTATCGTACACCAAAGACCTCGTTGCATTTGAGATCAGCTTGCCCTCGGGTGAAATCCAGTGAATTGCTGGTTCCGGATCCCCCCGGGCCTTGCACCGCAGCGTGGCCCTTTGGCCCTCCAGGACCCTCAGCTCATGCGTGTGCCTCGTGATGAGGGGAGGCTCGCAGAGGAACTCCTCCTCTGGGATTGACCAGAAGTACCGCCCCGACAAGAGCGGAGGAGAAGCACAGGTCTCCAGGTCGTCCTCTCTGGAAAGCCGCCTCAGCCACAGAAGCTCACAGTTGCAATGCAAAGGGTTTCCACCAAAGCTTAACGCAAAAGTAGAGGGGCTGATAATTCCTGAGGTTGCTAGTACCTGAGCTCGCTGAAAGAGAGGATCAGGTGGTAGCTTCTGCAGTTTGTTAGACGTGACATCTAACCTAGTCATCTTGTGGAGGTGGGAGAAGGTCCCCTTAGGAATATGGTCAATCATATTGTGGTCTAGACTGAGAGTGTGCAAACTAACCATCTTCTCCACAGCATCCCAAGGGATGGTTTCTAAATTGTTATAAGACAAATCCAATTCCTCAAGAGCTAAAACATCATCGAAAGCTGTGGAAGAAATCAAAGTCAGCTGGTTGTTGTTAAGTATCAAGTGGTGAAGGTTGGAGAGTCCACTAAACATGTCATTGGTGATCTTAGTCAATCGGTTGCTGTTCAAATGCAAAGCCCGCAAATTGCGCAAGTCAGCAAAYGCATGAGGTGTAATAAAACTTATTGTATTCCTGGACAACGTCAGGTCCACAAGGCTGGTCATATTGGCAAAGTCTTTCCTTTTAATGTTTGTAACAAAGTTGTCTGCCAGCCGTAATTCCACAGTCCTCCTGTCAATGTTGGGTGGAACAAACAAGAGCCCTTTCTTGGCACAAAGGGTTGCAAGATTTGGAGACAAAATCTGACAGACACAGCGCTTGGGGCAGATCTGGGCTCTCACTGCTATGCCAATGAACAGCAGAAACAAAAGCAGTTTTTCCATTGTAGATCAGGTCAAGAGCCTGAAAGAGAACAAACTTCTGTTAATACCTACAAGTTAAGCAAATTTAGCATTGAGAGTAATAAAGCAAACAAACCATCTATGGTTAGATCATGAAACTGAGGTCCACATAACCACATCTTAGAATGCTATGCATAGAATGTCAATGGATCGTCCTCATCTAATTATCTTATGTTTTTATATTCCTTCCATATCCTGCTGTAAAAATGTCCATAGTATCTTGCATAGAACTACGTGTATTGTACCTTTATATATACACACCCCTAGTTATAAACAAACCACAGAGCAGTTTGCAAGGACTAGGGGTCTGCGTGTTGTGCCCTACGTGCACTGAGGCTCATCTCAGACTCGCAATCCGCCCCCGTTCCATTCACTGAGCACTCAAACGGAGGCTCTTGACCTGGTGACCTGCAGTTACTCCATGATAATGCCATTTATGCACTGGAGATACAGGGGCTGTTTCATGTGCACTTTACGTGCTAAGCTAAACCTCTCAGTGGCCTCCAAAGTACAACAATTCAATTGGTTTATAAGCATTTCCACTGAACACTTAAGCCCTTAATGTTATTTTCAGAATAAACTCAAAAGAGCTATTTTATGTCATTCAAAAACAAAAACACAAATTAAAAAAGAACAAGAAAACCCCAACAACAACAGAGATCTAAATAAAAATGGAACGCAGGCTAATTTTAGAGTATTGCTGTTTTCCCTACTACCACAGCCAGCAATGCTGCAGTCTCATCCTGGAAATTCTGACAGTTCAATTAACCTTATCTTTTATATTGCCAGATCCAAGATCGTCACTGCATATGAAAACAAAGATGATGATAACAGTGCCTACACCAGTTAAATGAAATCATCCATCGGTGACTACCCTAAAAATCCTGGAAGTGCCACGTTGCCAATTTCCAAACATGGAAGACCAGAATCCTTCAGGACAGCAAACATAATTTTTGATAAAAAAGCGGTAAATTCCTACATATTTCCCACTTCCAAAAACACAAGGAACATTGGAAGAAGCACAGTTCTCTTGAGAAATATGTGTGTATTTAAGGAGAAATCTTGCAAAGTTGTAAAGCAAATTACCTCAATGGGAGCCCACATTTGAACAGAAATGCTCAGCCCACCTTGGGACTGATAACATTATATACGTACAGACGGGATTACTCAGACATGTCATCGCCCTAGCAATGAAAAGTCATGCAAAACAAAAAGAAAATTCATGGCTAGCTCTAAGCAGGAGCCGTGAATCCTCAGCGACCTTGACGGCCAGAGGAGCGCGTGGTGCTCGGCTTGCCCGTCCCCGTGCACTGCACCCTGCAGAGCAGGGCCGGCCGCTGCGCAGAGCGCGGCTGCCAACACCCGCTCCAGAGCTGCTCCTCGGGCCAGCGAGGGTCTTGTCTGTGTCCGCTGCTCACAGAAGCCTTTCCACGACTACGGACCCGGCCGCCACGAGACGTGTGCCATCTCCACACGCTCCGGAAAGGCGGCGGGCGGGTTCTCCTGACCTGCTCCCAACGCGGCGGCCGGGAGGCACCGGAGCTGGGGGCCCGCCGGGAGCTGGGGGAGCTGGGGGCGCACCAGGAGCTGGGGTGGCAGCTCCTGGTGCCACCCGGCTCCTCCTGCTTCGCCCGTCCGCTCAGCCCCCTCAAAACTGTCTCCTCCAGCTTGGTGCTCACGTCGCAGCTGCCAGCACCCCAGACTGTCCCTGGCTAAGTTACAATTTGCTAACGTAACACTGCTAATTCAGTGTTTCCTGGATTCGGCCAAGTTCATTTAAGAACTACATGAGATTAAAATAAAAGCAGAAAGGTTTATTTAAGTAAAGCAGACTGCAGAGCATTTGACTGCTTGGAAATGCAGCTGCACAAGCAAAGGATCAGATAAGAAAACACAGACTTCAAACATGCCCCAAGGAAGCTCTCCCTGTCCTTGCAGCCTGCATGTGTGCCCAGCAGACCCGAGCAGGCGGGCGCATTGCGCGAGTGCAGGGGACGCTGTGCGGGGCCGCAAGCCCCCATCTCACCTGCACGCCCAGGCAGGACACAGCTGACTTGCCGTCCTCCTAGCTCCTTTATGTACCAGTTACCGGGTTATCTGAGTGCAAATAAGGCACCACGCAGCCTCTGGAATCCCAACCGCCTTCCGACTAATTGCATTAGTGGGACACGGTGTGTCCGCAGCRCCTGACGCTCCGGGTGCGCAGGCAAACGGCGCGCGTGGCCGCAGCTCATCCACAGCCACGGCGAGCACAGGTGTCTTCCCTATGTTCTTCTTCACCTGCTGATCTCCCTGATCTCCTCCTGCTCTCCCACGCGGCAGGCTGGCTGAGCCGCCGCTCCCGGCCGTCCCGCTGCTCCCGGCGACCTGCACGGCCCACGGCCACCACGGGGCTGGTGGCCACGGCAGGCACCACGCAGGCCCACGCGCCTGCCCCGGCCAAGGCAGTTGTGCCGCAGATCCCACCGCATCCCCTTCACCTCCCCTGCTTYCCACTGCTTCATTTCACTGCCTTTGTACCCACAGTCACACGATTCCTGAAGTCCCCATGGGATGCCATGAAGAGAAGCCCCAACGAGTGCAGCTGAAGAACCCGCCAGGCTTCTCAGGCAGCAGGAGCACACAGAGCACCCACGCTGGACGCTGACGCACGAAGGACGAGCGGGGGTCCGGGTGCTTCCAGCCGGGGCCAGCTCTCTGGCTGGACACGGCTCCTCCGCGCAGGGCAGGGAACCCCTTCCTCCTTTCCCTGGCAGTGCCACAGACAGGCCGGCACACATCCCAGACACGGTTGAACCGCATGAAGAACAGGAGAGGACGCTGCTCTCCRGGACATCACCGGGCCAGAGGGCGGCTCTGCAGCCAGGGGACAGGAGCAGCCCCCGGGCGCCCCTCCGTCCCGTCCCCACGGCCTGCCTGCTGCTCGTGCCAACACGGCTCGCACAGCAAAGCGGACACAGCTCACCATTCACTGCAGAAAACACATTATAAACGGAGAAAAGTGGATTTGTTTAAAAAAATTAAAGCTGTAGCTTTAATTTACACTGTTACATTACTTAATTTACACTGTTACATTACTGCATTAAAACAAACAGTTGGTGGCTCGAGTCTCAGGAAGGTACAGACCGCCCTCATTCACCTGCCCGCATCTGTTCACAGGGATGCTCAAACTCCTCTTATGACATTTGAGACTTGGGTGAAAAAGGTTCTCAACACCAAAGCTTTAAATCAATTTTGTTATCATGCTTGATACTTCCAGTTATTCAATCTGCGTATACAGATACTCGCAGTCCAGAGACAGCATTTAATAAATCAGCCCTCTCAGCGACAGGCAGCAGTTACAAAAGGCGGAACTTGTAGTATTAGTCAACCTAAGGCAGAGATGATGGCTGGTGACCCCAGGCACGATGCCCACGGCGGCTCCAGCCCCCAGGGYGGCCCCGCGCCGCTCTGCAGCCCATCAAACACCTCGACCGCAACTGCAGCCCCACAACCTGCACTGCACGGGTTTGCTCTAAACGCCTGCCCTTTTCCTTCTGGAACATCGTCCTCATCTACTGGGGCAAACAGGGCTATAGCTTGGCTGGCACTAASAAGATCCTGCATTCAGCGCTGGTASCGCTTCCGCACACRTCTYKGCTGTCATTCCTCCACGCAGGCAGTAATTATGTGTTGAAGAGAAGCCTGGGGTTGCACTCGTTCGACTTTGTATTCCCCATGGCTCACGTGTGCCATCAGCAACTCCATTTCCTTAAATTGCCTGGAACCTCCAGCACAATTTACAAATTCTAACTTGCACTTATTTTGCCTGCTAATTTTATTCTGACCCATAAGGTTGGAGAGTTTGATATAACATTTTTGATTCATTAAGAGTGTCAAGCACAAACTCTTGCTACCCCAGAGCAGGTGCCCTGGCCCCACTCYCCACGTCCGCAGCCCCAGTGACAACCAGTGCCCAGGTCCTCTGTCACCTCTCCACGCACAGAGGACCCACAGAGGACAAGGTGAYTCCTGCCTGCCCCTTCACTCGGGACACAAGGTCCAGATTCTCCTCAGGAGACACGTTGTGCTCTGCTCCGCTTTGCACTGTTGTGCATTTCTTACGAAGCGACCCCCTTGCCGTGCCTCTGACACGGCGCATCARCAGCCTCAGCTGCCTCTGCAGCTGCTTTCGTGTAGATCAAGATGTTTGCCCGGCAAGACGCACCCAGCCCGCTGCTTGCTGGGGTTTGAGACGTGTTTCATACCTAGGCATTACTCCGTAAGAGCCACGGCTGCGTGCGCTGCCTCCCTGGAGGGGTTTCCACCGCCACATGGTGCTTGAGTCCCGGCCCGGTTTCACCGGCGCCAATAAACCTTGCATGGCTGTGCCCATCATGAGGCTGTCCGCGCAGGACAACCCCTCTGCTCCACTTGCGAAGTGCAAGGACAAGATCCATGCGCCCGTGCAGCCCTCAGCAGAAGGCAGCGCTGTGCCTGGAGCCTGGCGAGCGCTGCTGGGAGCCTCCTCCTCGTGCGCAAAGCAGCAGCTCCAGCAACACGTCCTCGGGTGGAGCAGCGTGTTCCCRGCGAGAGCTCTGCTTTCGCGGAGCAAACACGGAGCACCCGCGCTAGCAGCTAGCAGCCAGCCAGGGGCTCGCCGCACAGCGTGCTCACAGCAGGACACACGTGGCGGGACAGCAGCGTGCACCCGGCAGTGCTCGTTGTGGTCGGGAACCCGCTGCGCTCCGGCTGCCCCGTGTTCGTCCACACTTCACGTGAGTCAACGGCTGCAGGCAGCACGATGACGTCCCCACACCCGCATGCCGAGTATCCCCCAAAGGCCACCCAGGCCGGGTTTGGCACCAGGAAACTTTGCAAGACTGCTCAGGAAGCAGCCGCTGCACATCCACTGGAAACCCATGCCGGGTTTTGAATTCAGAYGCAATAAGCTACTAATCTTTTCAGCTGCTGCAATATTACCATGCTAAAGGATACACAGACCTACCACACCTGCRT